TTTTTTTTTGCGTAGGTCCTACCGAAAGATAACTATATTGATTCATCTTTAGGTACGATTTTGTTACGTTTGTTACATATTTTTTATTTGAACTAAATTATAGGTAGGTCTAGGTTTCAGCATTACCCATATATAAGGATCTCGACCGATTTTCTTCTTGAAATGACTTAATGACTTTTTACAGTTTCAGTATAGGTTCATATTTTGAATAGCATTATCATTAGAAATAGGATTCTAAAGCATTTGCAAGTAACCTATAATTGAGACTAATAAAAGGAATAATAATTTTAATAACAAAAAAATAAAATATATAACATTTAATATCTGTAAACATGTATGTTATGAAATTAATAACTTTTAAAGTTTTTTTAAACATAAATATTTTTGGATTTTTTTCAAATATATTTATTTATTAATAATAGTAATGTAATATTTTAGTGTATTTTAGTTTCATCTTTTTTAATTTAGTTTGCTAGGCAAAGTTGATGTAATTTATGTTTCATTAATGTCTAAATATTTCTTTTATTGTATATATTTTTTAATATAATTGCAATTTTGTTGTTTTAGTTACGCTGAGGTAGTTTTGTTTACTTCACAGGGGTTTTCAGGTAGATGTTGTTATTTTAGGGCTGGTTTTCTTTAGGGTGGATTTTGTTATAATTTATTGTTAATAGAGATTGTTTTGTCATTATATGTATATTTAGTTGATTGTAAATATATTTTTTCAAAAAGTTTTGGAAGTTTATTTTTTATAAAAATATGTTCTTGTCTTTGATTTATAGTTTAATAAGTTTTAGTTTGGTATTGTTTCTTAGTTTCTTTCTGCTTTTCCCCCTCCACTATTTTTAGGAACCTTTATTTGGTAACAAAAGAAAAATAAAATAAAACAAAAATCAACACAAAATAATTTTGTTTAAAAATAGTTTCTTTTTATTTGTTTATTATTGTATATACTAAAGGTGTTTATTGTTATATATGCACTAAATAAAAATTGAGAGAGAAAATCATTAAATAAAATTAAATGTAAATAATTTTGCTTAAAATTTAATATGTTTGTAAAAAATGTGAATTTGATTTTCTTCATTTTTTCATTCTTTCTGTGAGAAAAGAAATAAACGAATAGGAAACCTGAACAAATAGTGAAAAAATAACGAGTAACAAAAATATTAATTTTAAATAAGAAAATAGGTATATATAATCACAAAGAATATAATAGAGATAGGTGTGGCAAATAAGATAGGACTAATGGTAGTTATACAACGTTTCGAAAAATTTTAATAAACTAAATTTCTAACAAAAGTTTATAGTTGATTGAGTATAAGTGACGGCGTTACTCATACGATCCAATAAACATTGCATTTACCATTTATACATAATACGGCGTATGATTGATGCCGACACTCATACGACCTTGTGGCTGCTTAAATTTAAATTCAACAGTTTTTACTTTCTTAGGAAAAAATAATTATTTTATGTTATATTAATTGTATATTTCGTTCCTTATTTGCCACACTTTTTTCTATTTTGTCATCGAAAATAATATAAAATAAAAAAATGGCATAAAACTAAAAACAAAAATAAATTACATTATATAAATTATATAGAAACTAAATAACTAAAATAATAAAAAAGGAGAAATATACTATGAGTACTAGAGTTTATATCGAGATTATTTGCATTATTTTTTTAAACATTTCATTGATGACTTTATTGCAACGGCGGGTTCCACAGAATTTTCAGTTTTTTTTTGTTGTACAAAAAATAACAAAATTATTCAATTCAAATATGTTAGAATGAAATTACAGTCAGTAAATTAATTGATTTCGTACAAAATATGTGAGGATGTTTTCTTCCTGAGACTTTCTATATTGAATGTGAGTGGTTGTGATTTTTAATGTTTTAGGAGGGGTGGTAACTGTAATTTCATTTTTTCTGATTTTTCTTAAGGTTAAAGGTTACACAAATATTTCCATATTTTTCAATGATCTACATAGAAACCACAGGGCTTTATAAAGGCAAATTAGTCTGTATAGAGACCGCAGGTATTCATAAAGGACAATTAGTCTGTATAGAAACCGCAGGCCTTTATAAAAGAATCTTTGGCCTAAATAGAGACAACAGGTCTTTATAAATTCCAATTGGTCCATATAGAGACCACAGGTCTTTAAGAAGGCCGATTGGCTATATATAGAGACCACAGGTCTTTATAAAGGCCGATTGGCCTATATAGAGATCACAGTTCTTAATAAAGGCCGATTGACCTATATAGAGAACACAGGGTTTATAAAGGCCAATTGACCTATATAGAGTCCACAGGTATTTATAAAGGTTAATTAGCCTATATAGAGACCATAGGTCTTTATAATGACCAATTAGTCTATATAAAGACCATAGGCCTTTTAAAAAGCCAATTGGTCTATATAGTGACCACAGGTCTTTAAAAAGGCCGATTGGCCTATATAGAGACCACAGGTCTTTACAAAGGCCGATTGTCCTATATACAGATCACAGTTCTTTATAAAGGCCGATTGACCTATATAGAGACCACCTGTCTTTATAAAGGCCACTCGCCATATATAGTGACCATAGGTCTTTATAAAGGACAATTGGCCTATATAGATACCGCAGGTCTCTATAAAGGCAAATTGTCCTATATGGAGAATTCAGGACGCTATAAAGGTCAATTGGCCTAAAATGAGACCACAGGTCTTTATAAAGGACAATTGGCATATATATAGAGACCACAGGTTATTATAAATGCCAATTGGTCCATATAGAGACCACAGGCTTTATAAAGGCCGATTGGCCTATATAGAAATCACAGTTCTTTATAAAGGCCAATTGGCCTATATAGAGTCCACAGGTATTTATAAATACCAATTAGCCTATATAGAGACCATAGGTCTATGTAATGGCCATTTAACCTATATAGAGACCATAGGCCTTTTTAAAAACCAATTGGTCTATATAGAGACCACCGGTCTTTATAAAGGCCAGTCGCCATATATAGTGACCATAGGTCTTTATAAAGGACAATTGGCCTATATAGATACCGCAGGTCTCTATAAAGGCTAATTGTCATATATGGAGAATTTAGGACGTTATAAAGTCAATTGGCTTATATAGAGACCACGAGTCTTTATAAAGGTCAATTGGCCTATATAGGAACCATAGGTCTTTATTGAGGTCAATTGGAACCACAGGACTTTATAAAGGCTAATTGGTCTGTATAAAGATCGTAGGTATTTTCATAGTAAGATATCGGACCTGACTAAATCGTCTTAGAACTTTACACTGATAAAGACACTGTTCATTTCGTAGATATCGGATATAAGCACATCTCATATAAGAAAATATCGCATATAAGAAAGATTATCAAAAACACCGAGCTTATACTTTCTTATATCCATATAAGAAAAAAACGCATATAAGAAAGAAATCTCCGGCTTTTTTGAGTTTCTTATATCCGATATCTACTGTATGTCGGCCATATTATATATTCTTTACTCGGATATTCTAGCACACCTTTTTATCGAATCAATATTTAAATTATATTGCCTAAAAGTATGCTATATTTTTTTTAATTTAGCTATTTGAAAGATCATGGCCTTATTTCCCATTTGTAGCTGATAAAAGTCTTAGTCCGATTAAGAGCATCTTCTTTGATTTTCTTTACAAATCACCTTCCTTCTCCGCAAATTATTTGTGTAACCTTTAACCTTTTGATGTTCATTATATCTTTTTCAACTTGTACATGGTTTTCCTTCTTTTTGTAAACAAACTCTATAACATTTTTTTCATTACTTCCTTATTTTCCCTTCTTTTTTCCATCTGCTTCTCCTTCTTCATCCTTTGCATTCTATATTTCTTTTAACATATTCTATATACCCATTTATCTCCGCTTCATCTCCATCTCTCTCTCAATAGAACGAAGTGCACCAGGCATCTCCAGCTACTGGACTCAATATCCCCACCAAATGACTGTTATTCGTGTGATGTGACGGCATTGCCGGCGGTGTTATTGTCGGCGTCGATGTTGGCAAACATTGGAAACAATAATTCGAACCATAATTATTATCCCAATACTGTTGGCCCTTACACTGGAAACGTACGGCAAATTCCAAACGCTGGCCAACATGCAGCGAATTGCCGAACAGCACAAAGGAGAATTTATCGGAGAAGCCATCACAGGTGTTTTCTACATAATTTGCCTGTAGATCAGCATAGCTACGCCAATTATCCAGGGTATAACGTATGTGTACGGATTTGTGAAAGTCCAAATTTCGCACGCGCACGCTGCCGGTAATTGTGTGATTGATGTGATCGGTGACGGCGGCATTCTCCAGCGACACCTGTTTGTCCTTGACAATGTCAAGGAAATTGGGTAGGCCACCCGGTTGCTGGAACAGAGGCATCAGAAGTTTATCGGTCTTGGGACCCAACTGTATGGGCGGTTCATTTTCATTGATTTCCAAATCTTCAAAGGCGGACTTGGGTATATTTGGTATTTCATTGAGGAACGTTTTAACATCGGCCAAATCTAGACCGAGGACATCGGCAAAGCGTACAATTTTCTTGCGGCCCGGTGTACCGGGTGGTGTTTTGCCGGTTTTCAGGGAGGAACAGCGTTTTACTCGTTGTGGTCGACAATCTTCCTCGTCGTCTGTTGTGTCCAAGTGTGAGCTGTTCAAAAGTTGTTTCTGTGTGTCAATGGTCTCACTCTGTGTTTCTGTGCCCTCCGCACTGACCTCTTGGCTCACTGTGGGTTCTTTGGTGTCTTCCGCAGTTGTTTCTTCTTGACAAATTTCGATTTTCAAAACCTCTTCACCATTCTCTGCATGACCATTGACAAGGATGTGCTGCTCTACAGCCTGCTGTTCTGTATTTGGCTCTGATGTTTCCTGTGCTGCGGTGGTGCTGCTGGTTGTGTCCTTCTCATCTTTTTCATGTTCCGTAACATTCTGTGATTGCTGTTGTAGTTCCTTTAAAATTTCCTCTTGCAGATTTTTATTTTCTTGGACTGTGTGATTTTTCTCAATATCCGGACCTTCACTAGGCAGTGGTTTCGACACATCCTTGTATGTATGTTGGGGTTTTCCTTCCTCATTGCCGGTTGGAATTTTCAAAGGTTTGGTAAACAGTTCACAGGCATGACCATTACAGACAGGCAAGGCGATTCCATCATTGATGGCTTTGGCCCGGGGGAAGTCCACCTCGTCAGTGCCCTCCTTCTGATGTGGCTGACAGAGATGAGCTTTCTGTTGTTGACTTGATTCACTTTCCGAATTTACATCGAAATACGGACCATCTGAGGAACTATGAGAACTGGCGGCCGAGGCACAAGCATATCCTGACTCTGCTGCCGAATTGTGTGGAGTATTTGAAGTCGATTCGATGAGTCTTAAATATTCACATTCATCCACAGGACTGCCAGGACTTTCCAGTTCACAATCGAAATCGAAAAATGAATCCGATTCATGTCTCAGGGGTTGTAAATCTGTGACTGTTTGGCCACCATCGTGTCCGGATACCCAAGTGTTTTTGGGTTCTCCATTGATAATGGGTTGTTCATCACCAGAGTTTTCGCTGTCGTCAGCCTGTCAATACGAAAAAAACAAACATTATTATCGATCATAAATGAATCTATTCGTCAGTCAATCATTCGACGAGTGGGTTACCTGTGAGCCTAACGTGCGCAACTTTGATGACAAACGGCGTGCAAATGCCTCAGCCCGACCTCTACATGATGACATGCCTAGCGTGGGTATTATCGATATGATACTGCAATTATTGGCGTCGGGCGTTCCACTGTAGTGTTGTAAGGGTAAATCGCCTGGACCGTTCATTTACGTCAAACTTTTTTAGCAATTTTGTTTTTGGCCGAACTGCAAAGAGAACAAAGCAACTTATTTTAGTATTATCTTCTGAGAAAATATGTATCTGCATTTATTTCATTTTCTTTTGGCAATTTTATGAAATCATTGAAATTGTTGACCGAATTTTTAAAAAAATTTTCATTTCATTTTATTTAGTATATGACGATGATGAACGTATGATAATATAAATATGCATGTCTGTATGTGCATATTTAGTATATTAATGATGACAAATGAGACATTATTGTGTGGTACATAATATAGTATATAATTTGTTTTGTTTGTAAGAAAACATGGCTATTTTATTTTTTGATGGAAATAAATTTGATTAACTGAATGTAAGATAGAGAGAGAGAGAGAAAGGGCTTGGATCAGGACTATTTAGACTATATAGTAGTATAATAAAGTTGATTTGAATTGATCACCAATTAAAATCAATTTCCCAAACTTAATTTATTATCTCCTCAATATTTAAAACAAAACTCAAAAAATCTAATATAAAGAAAAGAGGTGCCTTGTTTGATGTTTAAGTTTGAAATGTTTCTACGAAATAAGTTCGATTTAAAGATTCTAAAATCTTTCAAACTGCAAGTTCAAAATTACATGTTCCTATTTTGTGTCAATGTAACAATTCTATAAAATATGTTAAACTTTCGTTTGAGGTTGTTACTTGTAACAACACTTATTTGTTATATTGTAATTGACATTTATATCGAAATAATTTGGAAAATGCATATGCGAATTGTACAACACCAATGCAGAGGTCGGTAACAGTGAGGTTGTTACTTGTAACAACACTTATTTGTTATATTGTAATTGACATTTATATCGAAATAATTTGGAAAATGCATATGCGAATTGTACAACACCAATGCAGAGGTCGGTAACAGTGTATACTGGTTAAGTATAGCGAAGTATGAAGATAATTTTGATATTAATGAAATGTTTACATCTTTTGGAAAAATTGTGGCTTTTTCATGATTGGTATAGGTCTCCGCATAACAATCCCGCCCATTTTCTCATCACATTGCAAGCTTTTGCAAACTTTCCAGAATTATTTCTCAAAGCTCACATCCGAAATTGTGCCCAATTTTCTTAATTGAGTCTAGAATACCAAGTATTGAGTTTTGTTAAAATTGGTTCAGATTTTCATATAACCCCGTTATATTATCATCCGATTTCATGCAATATGTACACCAAATTATTACCGTTTGAGTTAAATTCTTGGACGGCGGGCTGTGATACATCATAACGAAATAAAATTCTCTGTACGTGCCTAACCAAAGACACCAACCCTGTCCGATTGACATGAAATTTTGCATAAATATCAGGTAAAAAACTACTTTCCTACTTTTGAACTTTCCTAACAGTTTTTTTATGGATAAAGAAAATAATATTAGGATCTATATTATAAGGAGAGAAGGAAATGTGATATGGGGCCATCATATCTGAAATTAGGAAAAATCGGTTCAAATTTAGATATAGCTCCCATATATATATTCTTCCGATTTTAGGTAAATAGTGCACTAAAGTCCCTATAAATCCTTCGATTTGCACGAAATTTGGCATACCGTAATGAATTAAGTCTAGAAGATTATGTGTTAAATTTCGTGAAAATCGGTTCAGATTTAGATATAGCTCCCATATACATTTTCGTTCGATTTAATGTAAAAAGTGCACCAAAGTCCCTAAGTTTATCTGGTATGAACTAGGATTATTAACATCGCACAAATTTAACAAAATGGCGGATCTGTGAAATTTGATTTTTGGAAAATTTCCTATTTTAACCATAAACCTAAGGAAGATGTAGGTATCGTATGAACAAGGATAAATGTAATCATCCTTGTTCATACCTATAAACGTACTGAATAACGTGTTAAAATTTGGAACCGATTGTTTTTGAGTTATTGTGCCCGCTATTCGTAAAAACGGGGCCGACCATATGATACTCTAAACGACTACCACTGGACTCTTTGGATCTATAATCCGAGCCAGCGCAATACTTCGCGATATCTGCACTCCCTTGACCGATTAGGAGATGTCAACAGCATCAGGGATCTTTTTCGAATCAAGTAAAAAATACTCCATGAAATCCAAATTTTGTTATTTTACTAAATATCATTATCTTGACAGATATTTATATTAGTTGGTCAGATCGCCTTCTCCATGGAAAATTTGTGATGTTCGGCTTTTAATTGTGGCGTCTAGAGCGACCTATTTATCCCCGAAATATCTTCTGATCATAATCGAAAAGTATAGGCGTCGTTCTAGATCATAACCGGAGCCTCATACAAATTTTTCTAGCCATCAGCTCAAAATGTATGCTCTCTAATGTGGTAATAATAATACTAATCAAATCCCATTGTAAGGGACAAAGTTATGTAAATAAATTAAAAGCAAAATATCGAAATCTAAACCGATTTCATCGAAACTTGTCACATCTTCGGCCACATTTTGAGTTCTTCATTTACTTATAAATCCAAATTTCTTGCAAATAGAAGGATATATAGGGACTTTGGTGCACCATTTACATAAAATCGGACGCAAATATATATGGGAGCTCTATCTAAATCTAAACCGATTTTCACGAAATCGAAGGATATATAGGGACTTTGGTGCACTATTTACCTAAAATCGGACGAACCAGAAAAACTGGACCTATATTTATAATTTTTAGTGGAGTAATTTAGTACCCAATAAGAACCCAATTTACAAAATTTCAGCAAATTCAGTTAAAAAACGCGCTCAAGATCCTCAAAATACCGAAAATTTGGGGGTACCCTATATGGGAGCTATGCCTAAACGTGGACCGATTTTCTCCAATTTCAATAGGGTTCGTCCTTGGGCCAATTAAGTGACCTGTGCCAAATTTCATTCAAATCGGATCATAACTGCGACCTGTACTTTGTTAACAAAAATACATATCCGGACAGACGGGCGGACAGACGGACATGCATAAATCGAGTCAGAAAGTGATTCTATGTATATTCTCAAAAGGAACCATGGGTCATCTCGATTATTTTGCCTGTTACAAACATATGCACAAAGACATAATACCCTGTACCACAGTGTGTTGAAGGGTATAAAAACAAAAGAGAACCCGCTGATAAAGTGAATGATTCATTAAAAATTTGTTATTGGCCAAAATTCGCTCATGAGCAATTTTTTTTATTTTTCTACATATCGATGGAAACCTCTACATTCGGCTTACGGAATATATTGCAATTATTGAGCCTTATTTTTCACGTTATAGCCAAAAACTCCTGATTAGTCACTAGTTATGGAACCCCTGAAGCTGATCTGCGAACACATTCTACATCACCTGTTAAGGGTAAGCTTTTTTGTTTAAATTATCGAAGCCTGTTGAACGAAACTTAAAAAAATGCGAAGAGAAATGGTATTTTTTATAATCAACAGATTGATGGGTGGCAATTTTAATACCACCGCTGTTGAATTTAACGATACGATCGTTACAGCGTAGAATAACTGCGTTGAAATCGCAACGTTTGAAGCATGCACATTCATTTCATGGCTAGCATGCAAATTGTACATAAACACACTCAAAAAATCCACCAGTCAGAGCACATGTATTTTGACGTCAATCCACAGAAGCAGATCAGATATTTTAAATTCAACGTATATCCATTTGTATTATCATCTCAGCTCCTGAGAAATTTAAACCGTTGAAAATAATTTAACACATTTACCTTTTATTTTAATATAAAATTAAGTCGGCAATTTAAATAATAAAAACTAATATCACAAAAAACAACAACCTTCAATACTTATGAACGCCAGCGAACTAAACCAATTGATCTATTCAGATGGCAAAATATAGATCTTCACAAAAAGTAAAAACAAACGTGTCTGTGTAAAAAGTGGGCAGGTCTTGTAAAAAAACAAAAAATCACGTGCTCATTACCGCAATATAGTCACACCCCTTTATTTTGCCACACAAAAAATACTTTTGTAAATAAGAGGATATATAATATAGAATTACATTTAACAAAATAAGACTAAAATGTGGTGGTCTATATGTTTATGCAACAAACTAAGTTATACTATAGCAAAAAAATTGATAAGTAATAAGATTATATACAATAATAAATGAGATTTAGATTTTAAGAAATATAATCATGTTAAATATATAATTAAAAAATTGGGTTCAAAATGTTGCCACTGTAGTAGTAAATTAGATCAATAAAAATTATAACATAAAATAAAAACAAATAACTCTAAAACTTAGTGTCTGTTCCCAGTAAAACTTTTCAATTTTTTAACAGGAAAATGTTCTATTTCGATAAATATTAGATTTTCTGGAACAGAACTTTATTTATAGTTAATGTCGTATTAAAATGTTTTAATTTGTCATAAAATTTCAACCACACGATTTTCTAGAACGGGTGTCAATAAACATTCACACATTGTAGCCGACAGTTTGTTGTACACGTTTCACTTCTACCCCCCCCCCCCAGTATTTACTAATTTATTGCTTGTCTATTCATTATTTCGCCTTAATTGTCAATATTATATAAAATAAAATTAAATAAAAATATTTCAAAATTTCATCAGTGAAATCATTCATACAAACAACAGCAATGGCAGCAAAAATTTAAAAAAAAAAACAATCCCAAAATGCAGATGCATCAACGTCATACTACACATACTGGCTAAAGAATAAAGAACAAGAGATACGAAAATTCGACCAGATGTAGAATATAGGGAATGAAAAAAATACTGTAGAAATAAACATACTGTAGAAATTGTATTAAATAAATTACAGTATGAGATCGATTTTTGCCACCACGGCGTACAATGGACTGTTTCAATGTATTTGAGGATACTTATTAAAAGATGTACAGGAATTAGATAGGAATTCGGTTATATATTATTATTATTATTTATTATATTTATTATTATATTTTTGTTTATAAAAACAACAAACTGGGATTCAGCCTGACTATTTTGCAAAAACAAAAT